AGCCTGGTCTCCAGAGCGAGTGCCAGGATAGGCTCCAAAGTTACACAGAGAAACCCTGTCTCGAAAAACCAAAAAAAAAAAAAAAAGTGTCAAGCTCCAAGTGTAAGACACTGTGTGTGCACTGAGAGTCTCTGCTTCTGCATTAATACTCTGCAAGCATGAGGACCCGAGTTCAAATACTAAGCTCCCACATAAAAGAACCTGGCATGGTGTGCTTGCTTATAACCCCACCCTGGAGTGTGGAGATCCTGGGAGCTTGGCCAGCCAACCTTGCTAAAACAGAGGTTCCTGGTTCACTGAGGAACTGTTTCTCAAGGGAATGAGGTGGAGAAAGGTAGATGACACCCAGTATCCTCTTCTGGCCTCCACACGTGTGCACACAGCCACACAGTCATGTGCATGAACACAAACTTTCATATGCACACATACATAAAAAGTTTTCAGAATTCATAATTTGTATGTGTCTGTTTACATAAGTATGCTTGCTAAGAGACAGCAAAATAAAATACCTATTTTTAAAAATAACTAAAGCTTTACACTTATGGGTCATATGGGAGTGTTTGGGGTCATCATCATCAGTCTATACAAACTTTTTTGTCTTCTCTCAGAGTACATCCCGGATTTTCCTCTTGACAAACAATAACCTTCTCCTCGCTGACCAAAAGTCCGGGCAGATCAAGTCCGAGGTGCCCCTGGTGGATGTGACCAAGGTCTCCATGAGTTCGCAAAACGATGGCTTCTTTGCAGTCCACCTCAAGGAGGTAAGTGTCACCAGGAGGCTTGACATAAAAGCTGTTCCTTGTGTTCCCTCTACTAGCTGGATAGCCCCCCCTGACTAGCCCCTGCCTCCCTCCTACTGACCTAGAAAGTTTAACCATATTCACCCACATCTAAAATTTCAGGCTTCATTTTCAGTAATTGAATTACACTTTTGTTAGCTTGAGAGTAATGAAAATGTCCAAATGTTTGATACTATGTTTCTTCCATATGACAACTTAAAAATGCTGTCTTTGTTCTTGTTTGTCTTTAACTTGGTGGTTTATCAATAGCTACAACTATAGTCAAACATTTTCCATTGACTTTGACCTAAATTTATCTTGATGTTGTATGAGTTTTACCTAAGTAGAACCACTATCTTGAATGGAGAGGTTAAAGTGGAGGCACTAGATTTTTTATTTTGATGACTGGGGCCATGCTGTTTTTACCTCATCTCAACTTGAAAGTGATTGTATGTACTACATAACATTGGTAGCGAGCTTTATGAACACTGTACATAAGTGCTTAACAGAGGGAGTCACATAATTGTCATTACCAAATAAACAAATGTCAGCATTTATCAGTCATACATAGAAAAGACCCGAAGGCTTTCCTTAGCCTGTTACCCCACCATGGATCTAAATCTAAACAGAGACATGTCAAGTCAGACAGCAACTGTTCTTGTCTCTGCTACACACAAAAACAGCTTGGAAGTTTGGAGACCTACTGCTGTCCTGGCTACATGTGTATCTAATCACAGCAGAATTCTCAGCTTGGGACCTAGCCCCGGGAGTTTGTTTGAAGTACTTTTGTTGTTGTTTTTTTTTAATTGATTGCTTTTTAATTATGTTTATAATTTTTTGTGTGTGTGTGTATGTTTGTGGGAGTCAGTTTTCCCTTTCCACTATGTCAGTCCCAGGGACCAAACCCTGGTTGTCAGACTTTGTGGCAAGCACTTTTTACCCCTGAGCCATCTCACTGGACCCTTTGTTACTTTTAAAAACCATTTCACTGTAAGGTTTTTGAACGGTGCTTTGAGAATGAGTTATAAGTTGGGTTGCTGCCTGTCAAACTTGATTGTGAAAGCCCACCACAAAGGAATCTTGTGGCTTCTCCTCCAGGGGGTCTGTAGAACATGCTGCTCAGATCCACTGACCAACCTGAAGTATCAAAATACCAGTCTTCCCCCTTACTGCTCATCTGGGAGGATGTGCCCTGGTGCCCAAGGTTTGAGGAGTCTGATAGGGTTCCTGCCTGCAAACCTTTCCCTCTTCTGTCTGACCTTGGCTTGTCTTTGCAGGGCTCAGAAGCAGCTAGTAAAGGAGACTTTCTCTTCAGCAGTGATCACCTCATTGAAATGGCCACCAAGCTTTATCGCACGACTCTCAGCCAAACCAATCAGAAGCTCAACATTGAGATCTCCGATGAGTATGTCCACGTATTGTACAGTACACTTTTCACTCTCTGCTTTTCTGTTGGGTTTGGTTCTCCAGTTTCATCGCTGAATCCAACTGCTTTAGGTCCAGTATTTGTGGCCAACCAAACCCGTCTCCTTACGTAGTGAGACAGATAATGTGAAGGGAAATTAATCAGCAGGTGACATGATTTTGGCTTGTAGAAGGAGAAAGCAAAGGGAAGGGTATTGTTTTTGACAGGGAGACTTCTTGGCTGTAAGATAAGAAGAGCTGACTAAGGGAGCTAGCCAGATGCAGACACAATGCAGGAAGATGCTGCACAGCACAAACAGGCAATAAGTGCAGAGGTCTCCAGACAGGAGCAATCTATGACAGAGTGAGACTGGGAGAAGATCCCGGAGAGAATAAGCAGAGTCCAGTTATACAGGGCTGGTTTAAGCATAGAGTGAAGCTCTTCCTGAGAATGCTAAAGACTACACAGGTGGATGGCCTTCCCTGTTTTTCAAGGATGGCTTTGGCCACAATGTGGTCAGCTCCCTCGAGTGAGAAGTGAGAATAGAGCAGAGGGACCAAGAGTCTGAGCTGTCTAGGGCAATGTGAGGAGTGAAGAGGGGTTAGTGAGGAGTAGTCCCATTCTGCATGTGATGAAAGGGGAGACAGGAGGGCGTGTGAGCAGGTTGGCTCTTAGGGCCCACCCTTGGCACTGCTTGGTGCAAGCATGCTGAGGATAGGACTTGAGGGAGCAGTCCTGAGTCAGACTTGAGGTGACCTTCATTTCATATGTTGATAACTGGAGTTACAGAAATAGCATTTCACATTGGCAGTTTGTATAGTCACAGAGAGAAGAGGTTACCCCTAAGCCCAGAACCTGAGGGGTCTACACTTTTGGTCATGTCCCTCACTGCTGTTCTAAAGCCACCGCTGTCCCAGAATATCAGTGACACTGCACTTGGGAAGATAAGAGCTCCCTGACAAAACTTGAGAATCTTTCTTAATACGGAACTTGTCTGAGCCTCCGAAATCTGGTTCTTCCCATAGACACGGAGGCTTTGAGGGGACAGTGTGTTTCTGTTTCCCAATCGTGGTCAAGAGGAGCATCCCTCCAGTGGCTGTCTCCACCCAGAAATGACCCTGCCCATCCAGACAGGCATGTGACATTCTGGATGTCACAGGCATTCAGTACATAGTTGTCTGAGCAAAGATTTACAGCGTGGCCACACGAAAGACAAATATTTGGTAGCATTATAACCCTTCTCCTGTTGTATTTCCTAATGGTTTATCGGCTAAAAATAGATCAGTGGATGGAACCTTTCATGTCCCGTGTGGGCTCTTTCCCTCAACACCTCAGGAAGCCTGGAGAACAGCTTCCAGGCAGCCTCTTTCATAGTCCCTGGTCCTTCCAAACAGGCCTTAGAAATTCCCCTTATGGAACAGTTCAAATTTAAATGGACTTTTCAGTCCCTGGACTCAGAGATGGCAGGTCCTATATCTACAGCCCTAGATGGGTTGACTCCAGCCCATTGCCAGATGTGTGGAACATATGTCATAAACAGCATGCAGTTTAGTGGCTATGCCCTTCCTCAGAACCTTTTCAGAAGTGGAAGTAGTTGCTCTAACAAACTGGTTTCTGTGGTCATTGTGGATAAATTGGCTGAGTCTTCAAAAAGCTAAGTAATATAGGTGTGGACATGAGAGTTGAAATCACTAAGAGACTTGGTTGTTTCATAGTTCCTGGTCCTTAAACTCCCAAACAGACGATGCTCTGTATAGACACACTTAGAGGTAATGTGTATGAGGTGAATATTTCAAAATGAGTCTCTACTGGAAAGCTAAGTAATACAGGTGTGGACATGAGAGTTGAAATCAATAAGAGACTTGGTTGTTTCATAATTCCTGGTCCTTAAACTCCCAAACAGACGATGCTCTGTATAGGCATACTTAGAGGTAATGTGTATGAGGTGAATATTTCAAAATGAGTCTCTACTGTAACTATTCCGTGCTCCTTTATCTTGAAATTTTGGCCACCACTAACACTGTGAAATAGATAATTCCAACAGTCCACTGTTGACTGGAAAATGCTTTTCTATAGAATGGAAATAGATAATAGTGGTTAATTGCTCCCCAGGTGTCCTAAGGCTAAGTCCATGTAAATGATCAAGAGCATTGTGGTTCATGGTGTAAGATATATTTAGCTGTGGCAATTTTCCCATGAACATGAAGAACGTTTAAGACTTATAACATGTTTGGGTTTGTGTTACATTTTAAAGGGTTTGGTTTTTGTTTGTTTTTTTGAGGCCAACAAGTTCAATTATATATGTAGCCAAACATGTTGTAGCACCTTTTACTTTGGGAAGCAGAAGCAGGAAGATCTCTGAGAGTTCAAGGCCAGCCTGATACACAGTTCGTTCCAGGCCATCCCAAGCTCCATAGTGAGACCTTGTCTCAAAAAGAAAAGAATGATAAATATATACTAAGGACGTATCCTAGGTAGAAAAATGTAGAATTACAGTGTTCCATCCCTGGTGCTGTGAGTGGGAAAGAAAGAACCTGTAGGGTTCGTACAGATCTCTCCCTACAAGAACAAGTTTGAAAGTCAGTGTTGTTATCCTTTTATAACAGCAAGAGCCCAGAGACCTAGCTTAGTCGGGAAACCACTGGCAAGGAAGAGCCCCTGACTTCAGGCCTTAGCACCCACGTGGAGCACTGGTGGGGTGGCTCCTACTTGTACTTCCAGTGCTAAGGAGGTAGATAGATCGTAGGGTTCACTGGTCAGCCAGCTTAGCACATAACTGGTAAGCAGTGGATTCTAGTAAGAAACCTTTTTTCCAAGGACAAGGTAGATAGTACCCCTGAAGAACTACACCCAGAGCTGAGCTCTAACCTGTACAACAAATGCCTGTGCACTCACACAAATATGCTCGTGAACACACACAAAATGAGTAAAACAGTGTGTGAATTAGAGGTCTCATTTCACCCCAGGAGATGGTGTTTGTAAAACATGGCCTTTTAACTGGGGCCAATGTATACAACAGAACCATTGACTCCTTGCTGTTGCTATTGCTGTTGTGTGTTAACTGCATCCTTGCTAGATGGGTCATGTAGGAATTCCCCAGTAGCTTAGGATGCTGTTCCCTCAGGTAAATGGGGAAAGGTCCTGAAACTGCTGATTAGTATGTGGAGTGAACAGACCACTGGTATAGGGTGTGTGTGAATAGCTTTCTATGTATCATGTGTTTGATTTGTTAAATGTTTAATTTGACCTCCTAAAAACTTACTCATGTAAAAATAAGGAAAGGTGAAGTTACAGCAGGTTAATATACAGTTACTCTTAAAAACTTGCCCGTGTAAAAATAAGGAAAGGTGAAGTTACAGCAGGTTAATATACAGTTACTCGATGTCCCCACTGAAGCATAATTACTGTCAGCTCAGCTTACCTTACTGGAATATGGTGAACTTCCTTTGCTAGGGGCTAGTTGATGACAAGTGAGAGTGGAATGCAGTCACTGTTGCGTTCCTCATCAGATGTACCTTGGAAATGGGTAATAAGTGCCTCCTAAGGTCAATGTCTGTTACAAAAAAGGGAAAGCTGGTGTTACTGTGGTGTTACTGTACACCCCCATCCCCATCTGCTTTGTGTGTGCCTGAGTGTTTGGTTCTCTTCCCCTAGGTTCCTGGTGCAGTTCAGACAAGACAAAGTGTGTGTGAAGTTTATTCAAGGCAACCAGAAAAATGGGAGCGTGCCAACCTGCAAACGAAAGAACAACCGGCTCCTGGAAGTTGCCGTCCCTTAAGTGACGCCTCCTCTCTGCCCTCATGGACTTGTTTCTTCATACTAGTGCAATTTGATTTTGTTTTATTTGGGGCTCGCCGTATGTTTGGGAATTGCCAAAGGCTAGCGGTTAGAGTCCTTTGGCGAAATTGAAAGTATTTGACTAATCAGTTTTAATTATTGGAGTAGTTAACCCTGACGTCCACAATCTGTCCTGCGCAGAATTCTAGAAATTAACAGTGTCTGTTTCCATGTCTTATGTGTTTTCTCCTCAGTTACCATTTTAGACTTGTGTACCGTAAACCCACATATTACCCATAAATCATTAGTACATGTAAGCATAGGAGGGGCTTACATTCATTTATCGGATATTTATTGAATGCCTACTTTTTGCTGGGCACTGTGCTGAACTTACTAAGAACCTTTTTATTTGAAAGCTGTTGCCTTCTGGCTGATTTGTGCTGGCAAAACAGAAGCTAAGAAGGTGGTAGAGATCGAGGCCAAAAGATACTGCTAATGATGAGAGCCCAGTGGTGTGATGTAAACAGTGCACACATTGAGAAGCTGTGGGCTTGGGAGGTTTGGGGATAGATGACTGGGTGAAATTCCTCTACATTTTTTTTTTCTTACCTATTTGAAAAAGAGAAAACTGACATTTAGACATGCACATTTATTTGCTCAGATCCCCTGTCATTATCTTCTGTTAGAAAACGGAAGTTACTCTCACTTTAGGGAAAGTGACTGAAGCAGGGTAGCACAATGCTTCGTTGCGGTTCCAGAGAAGCATGAGATGGACCCTAGATGCCCACAGTGCTTTCACCCGGAGTCAGTAGCCATCGAAATGGCAAGTAAGAAAAGGCCAAGAGCCGTTCAGAGTGGCCGATCTTCTCTTTGATGTGCAATAAAACATCCAAGGCGCCTTTGAAAGTTTTATTTATAATATACTTTTTTTTGTATGAGAGAGGTGATTGATTGGTACAGGGTGTGTATTTTAGTGAAAGATCAAAGTTAAGATAGAATTAGTTTTCAGGGCTTCTTGGGTTTTTGTTTTTGTTTTGTTTTTTGTTTTCTTTAAAATTAAGAATTTTAAAGAAATTGGAAACCACATTTTAAACTATGGAATTAAATTGTTTCTTATTTGGGAGGATAATGTATATACATTGGGATTCTGATAAATAATAAAATTGTTCTAATTTGGTGCCATTTGCTGAATCACAACTGTATTTTTGTATCTCGAGCTATTTTCATATGTTACATGTCTAATGTGTCACAGAAAGGTTTTCCATCCAGACATTACATGGTCTCTGTGTTAACGGCTTTCCACTAATCTTTTTGTACCAGTATCAGCCAATGAAAATATTCCCTGGGGATTTTCTTTTGATTTTTGTACTTAAAAAAAAAGTTCTGATAAAGAGATTCTCGAACGTGTCTGTGTTTATTGCTCAGGTGGAGGATATCTGCTGTTTACAGTTCCTAAGGTGGTTAAGTTGATAGTCCCTGCTGAGGGCAAGTGCAAGTTTAGGACTGCTCGGTGAGTTTTTGACAGCATATACTTACAATTACTAAATATGCTCACAGCATTCAAAGCACTGGTCAATATGAAAGGCCACCAACTTTCCGTTCACTCAGCACCTGTCTGCTCAGCGGCTGCCTCCAAAAGTTAACCCTTCAGCTGCTTTTACAGTATGTGATGTCTGCTTGGAAGGAAAGTATGTATGAGTTTGTCTTCCGCTCCATCAACAGACATGTTGTTCTTGCCCTTTTCTCCTAGCAAGATGCCCCAGAGAAAAAGTTCTTTTCATGATGGCATAGTCCTTTCTCGTGAGGTATCTCATTTGTCTCTCTTACCTGCTTCTTGAGTGGAATTAAGAGTGCAAAGGGCCCACAGTATGAGTCCACTTGGTAAATTTTCCAACACACATCAAATTTAGAGATTGTTCATTGTGTTGCTTTGTACACTTGTAGCATTCAGCAAAGGTAGAGAACAGTTTCTATTTGGTCCTGAACAGCATTGTGAATGTTATATACATATAGACATACATACATGAACTTGAAGAACATATCTGCAGGAAACTTGCATATTTTTGCATATGTCTTCCACTTTGCTCTATCAAGTCCTTTGGTCATAGAATGCACTCTGTGAACTATGCCTTTACATGGTAGGAAAGTCTTGCTTCTTTATGTATGAAGGTGGAATTTCAGTCCATAGAAACCTGAATTCATGGAATTATGAAAGTAGTTGATAGGAGTAATATTTGGAGATTTTTCAAATTAGAGTATTAAACTCTTGGTCTTGGGGTTAGAATCGACTGTTCTCAGAGGAACCCAGACTCTAAGAACCACTAAGAAAAATAGTGGTGCCACCTTGTATCAGTATGTAACCAACCCCTGTATTTTAAAACCTTCTCTCGCCAAGCATAGTCATGCACACCTTTAATTCCAGCACTTTGGAAACAGACACCACTGGATCTCTGTGAGTTTGAGGCGAACAATAAGTCCCTCTTTCAAAAATAAAAGACCTCTATTGTCTGTCCAGAGGTTGTCACTTCACTGACAGTGGGTCCTTTAGGGAACCCTGCTGGTCCCCTGCAATGGAGAGAGAAAGTACTGGTGGAACTCAAATTCTTAGGGACCCTGTCCAGACCACACAGCCCCAGCTTTTCCCCAAGCATCACTCAGAAGATTGCCCAGCCCTGAGGTGACTTTTTGGAGTTATTAGCAGATGTAGTGTCGGAAAAGCAGGTGATAGGTCCCCAAGGCCTAGTTGCCAGTGTTGGCAGTGTTCTAGTGGAATTACTCCTCACTGATGGCCATCAAGCACAGTATGAGGAAGGGACATGGAAACGGATGTGCTCTAGGAGATTGCTTCTGGCTTTGCATTTCAGACTTTAAGAATAGTCCTTTAGATCCAGAACTCAGATGTGAGGCCACCAGCTCGAGTTTGAATATCTGATTATTCTCCAGAGGTGATGGTCTATTTGTAGCCGCAGAAGCTGCCCATGTGTTCAGAGTATCAGAAGCATACCCTCAGCATTGAGGATTCACCTGAAATCTAAGACAGTGAACCATTTTTACTGTCACGCCATCTCAGTAGTGTGCTGATGACACTAAAGCCTGTAATTAAATACTCTCATAATTAGAGCATAGCTTATTAAAATATAACTATATTTTAATAAATATAGAACAAATATAATTCCTTAATGCCTTTTTAAATAATAGGTAAACTTTCGTAGCTTTGGTGAGGTTTCAAATAATAACTCTTCCTTGGTGAGGGCGTTGAGTGAGTCTCTCCTTGTGTTTCAGTTGGCTGTTAACATCAGCAGCATTCAGATTTACTAGAACAGAAACAGGTGAGTGGAAGGGAAGAGAAGGAACTAGTCATCTGGCTCTTCTGCCCTGGAGCAAAGCAACTGCAAGTTAATGAATGTGGTTCTGTGAAGACCTGTGTTGTGTGTCCTTGCCTCCTCTGCATCTCATTCCAGTCACTGTAACTCACTCTTGTGTTCGCTCCAGGGGGCCACACCTGGTGAGTCAGCACTTCTGACTACACCCCCCTGGGAGGGCTCATTATCTCCTCCCTGGTTTGAAGATCATTTCCAACTGATCTGGAATTGGTCACAATCTGGCAGCTGTCTTAGGATTTCTGTGACTGCGAAGAGACACCATGACCACTGCAACTCTTTAAAGGAAAACATTTCATTGGGGCTGGCTTACAGTTCAGAGGTTTAGTCCATTATCACCGTGGTGGGAGGTGTGGCAGTACACAGGCAGACATGGTGCTGGAGAGGGAGCTGAGAATGGAGAACGAGCTATGTCTTGGTCCTGCAGGCACTGGGAAGTGATCTGAGACACTGGGTGTGGCTTGAGCCTGTGTGAATCTCAAAGCTCACCTCTACAGTGACACACTTCCTCCAACAAGGCACTACCTGATAGTACCACTCTCTCTGAGCTTATGAGGGCCGATTGCATTCAAACTGTCACAGTAGCATAACCATAGATTTCTCATTAACCTTTTCCGCTGTTGTGGTGGCCAGATTCCCTCAACCCAGTTCCATAAAATTCAGCAAAAATCTAACTTCATAACCAAGAAAGGTAGTCTCAACTTCTCAGTGTGTTGAAAAGGAAGTGGGCAATGAATTTAACTCCTGTTTACCAGGTCCCCCAGCAACCCTGAAGACACTAGATCAACTTCCTGTCCTATTATTTTATGCTCATAACTTCAGGGGTTCTTTTCCTTCCCCTTCCTTTTTGAGGTGAGAGTTCTTCAAGTAATACATCTGAAATATTAAAGTAGGATTTTGAATGTTGTACACATAGGAAGAAACACATACAGGTAACCATAACCTCTACCCTGAACTCACAACAGGTTTCTGGATACAGCACCACGGAGCTTCATCCCAGTCAAAATCCTTCACCAAAGTAAACTTTGTCTTTTAATACACATTAATCTTCCCCACTTTCAAGTGAGATCTTGTAACATGCAGGCTTCTGCCTAGCTGCTTTCTCTCAGCATGACTGTGTGTGTGTTTAGCTAACTTTCTCCTATATTCATCAGATGTATAGCCCATTTTTAACCAATAGCAGCCATTTGTACATAGGGTTGTTGGGAACGATCTCATGCAAGTCTGTGCCTAGATCCCTGCTGAATGGCTATCTCAGAACAGCTGGGTTAGACAAAATACCTGTCAGCTTTAGTTGACTCTCAAGCTGATTTCCAAAGAAATTACCCTGCACAGGACAACATTACTGCAACACCTGGTAGTGGCAGTCGTCAATTCCACTCTGGTGAGCTCAGCTTGTGTTTGTGTCTTTCTGATCACTAAGAAGCTCCGTTGCCTTGTCAGTATTTTCCAAATAGATCCTCTGGCAAAGTACCTGTTTAAGGATTTTCTCTGGTGTTTTGTTGTGTACTTTTCCTTTGTGGTTTGTATTTCTGTACATGTTTTGTTGTGGCCTTTGTGTATGTGGCATGTCTTCTCACAGTCTCTGGTTACTTTTCTGTTGCCTTATCAGGACCTTTGGGTGAGCAGAAATTCTATCTATTGTAGTCTTGGTTACCAGCTGCCTGCCCTCTGATTAAGTGCTTGATTTCCTGTTTAGGAAACACTTGCTTACCTCAGATTATCTTTTCTTCTGGAAGTTTTGCTGTGACATTTAGGCCATTAGTCTGGTTGAAATTGACTTTTTTTTTTTTATGGTGTAGAGCATCAAGACTTGCGTTTGCTTTCCTCCACATGGGTACACAGCCAATGAAACACCTTCTATTGAAAAGACCAACCTTCCCCACTCCTGTGTATCTAGACCCTTGCATCTCTTGATTTGTGCCCACACTGTCACTGTATAATATACTCTTTTAAAAGTGACATTCATAACTTTTAGCTGTCTTGAGCTTTTCTGAGAGGGAAAGGTATTAAAACTGATAAGCATGCTAATTAAATGAACAAGTCAAGGAAATAATTTCAAAAGTGGGAGTAGGAATGGTTCATCACACTTCCAAAACCATGAAAAGCCACAGGGAGTTGAGCATGGGAGTTCTCAGTGGGGTAATGCTAAGAAACTATTAATTGCTCTATGAAATAAATGAATGTCTAATGTCACATGATTTGCTTATTTACTCTGTGGCTTCCCATCGACTCAGTACGTTCTGTCCATATTATTAATTGTCCCGTTTTAAATTTTCCATAAGATCTCCCTGAAATTACTGTCTTACATAAGTGCATGTGAATACTTTGGTTTTAGATTAAACATCCCTCTCCGGCTGAGTTCCTTTGCTAGAATAATGAGAGACCTTGGAGGGTTTTTCTGCCTCTTAATGTTACCGTTGGTTTTCCTGTGTGGTGCTAATGGCTTGGAGATGAGCACAGATGGTCCCTGAAGTGAAATCCAGATCTTTCTTTCTTTGGCTTTTCTACTAGTTGCACATTTTTAAAAATTAATTTTAAAAAGTTCTAAATCATGTCTCATTAATCACCGGTCCATTCTTTGCTTCGAAGTTCTGAGCTAGCTAAATTCAGAATTGCCCTTTAAAACTAGCTTCTGTATGCTGGGCGTTTCTGAAGTTGAGACCTTCATTAACAGAGGAATAGGAGCAAAAAGAAAGATGAAATGAGTTTGTGTAATGTTTAAGTGCATCTGTGTCCTGTTTTCTTTCAGAGGGCAAATTGTTGGCAAAGGAAAACAGTGCAAACATAACAGTAACATTTAATTGCCTTAGGAAGTAACTAAGTCATATACGAAATGTTTTAACCGTGTAAACTCATTCTGAAGAGACTAGTGGAGTCATGGTGGCATTGCATAGCAGAAAACAGAGTGTCCTCCATTTTTCAGAATCCTGAAAGCAGCCCTTGATGAAATGCACTGTGGAGTTGACTCGCTTAGTGAACAAACATCATTAATATGATATGCCGTTCAGCTATATCTTGAG